ACTCGTGCATTCGATGAACCAAGCATTCAAAAAAATCCTAAAGGCGAATCCCTTAAAAAAATAGTTAGCTTATGCAGGGAAGAATCTTTGCAACGCTTACGGGTGGAGTAACTGAGAAGCGAGTTCTCTTGTCTCTGTCCCGTAACCCTTAAGCAAAAACTTCATCTCCATGAAGTTAATAAACAAAAGATAACAACATTTTTTCAATCGGAAAATGTATAATTTCCTATAGTGAATGAATCTTCTCCATCCGGGATGTTTTTGATTGTCACGACTTCACTTGCAGTTGAAACTGCACCACTCTCATTGCCTTTGCTGTGTGATTTATTTGCCCTTTTCAATCTAAATTTTCACCACCCCCACACCTGAGAGAAGGTTAACAACAGTCGTATTTTTCATCACCACTTCAGGACATCCTTCATCACTTCAGGATGCAGCTTGCCTAAACAGGTGGTTTTCAGGGTCTTTGGACCTTTCACCACTTTAAGACCATTCATGTACGAAAATCATGAATGGTCCTGAAGTGGTGAAAGCTCCGAAGACCCTGAAAACCACCTGTTTAGACAGGTTGCATCCTCAAGCGGTGAAGGGTGGTTTTCATGGTCTTCGGACCTTTCACCACTTCAGAACCATTCATGATTTTCAGACTGCCTAAAACTCTCACTTGACTACTTCATGACACCCTTCACCACTTCAGGATGCAGCCTGCCTAACACAGGTGGTTTTCAGGGTCTTTGGACCTTTCACCACTTCAGGACCATTCAGGATTTTCAGACTGACTAAAAATTTCACTTCAAAATTTTCACTCCTGAATTTTCAGCTATCCGATAACCGCTTGTACCACACCTCGTTTTCTTTTGTTGGGTAACACAATCTTCCCCAATTTTGCGCTTGCCCCAATTTGAGTTTGGTGATGTGCAATCCTTTTGTATATCACTTGCTGCCTCGAGGCAAAGTCCAAATTTTTGTTTCTGTTCTGGACCTAATCCAGGTCCTAAGTTTGAACCTACCGCATTCACTCGGAAATAAAGCTCATATGTTGTATTCAACTTACTCTTAAACATTCAAATTTTTATTTTTACTCACTTTTTTTTTAATAGAAAGATCCTTAGAAGATAATGCATGGACGTCTATTATAATAGAACGCCCGCTCGTTATATTTGAATGTGCTCTGGACAGAGTGCCTTGTAGAGGAAGTGTACATGGGTTTCTAAACAGGGGAAGGGCGGTATACATCGGTTTTACAAGAGGTTGAAAGAGGTATGTTTTTGTTTTTTGTTTTTTTTTTTCCTTTTATTTTCGAATTTATAAGGAATTCGAAAGTAATCCTCAGCTAAAAGTTGGTAGCATTGCAATACATTGCAATACTAGACAACATACTCTTTTTATAAAATTGTTTGATTTTTTGTTTTTTTTTCTAAATTTTGGACCCATAGGTTAAGTGGTGCAAGTGGCGGTATCACACATCCATCCAAAGGTGTCCCAAACAAGTGAACTAGAGTATATGTAAAGGTGTCTAGGACAACAACATGGCTAACTTCAGTCAGAAACTGGGCAGAGGTCACAAATAAGGGACACAAGTTGTTGTTGTTGTTGTTGTTGTTGTTGTTGTTGTTTTTTTTTTTTTTTTTCCGTTTCAAGAGGCTGCAAGTGTTGTCCTTACAAGATAAGTTACTCAAGCCATCTCAATAACGTCAACTAGAGGCACACAGGAGAGGTAGCTAGGACAATCACAACAACTAGAAAGGGTGAATATCGAAGCTAAGGAAAAACTGTGATAAGGTTTGTCGAATCTTGAAATTGCAGCCAAGTATTGCACACATGGATGTATGCCAATTTGTAGTGGAACTCCGACCTCATAAATATGTGGTAATAAAGCTTATTTGGTCCTACCTTCTTGCCCCCGATGCAACATATGGCCATCATAGTTGTATCTAAATTGAAAGATGCCTCAAATACAACTATAATGACCGTACGTTGTAATCAGGGGAAGAAGGTAGTGCATCAGGGATGACTGAAAACGATGATTTTTTTTTTTTTAATAATTTGGACCATTTCTCGATTTATGCGTATCATCCTTGTGCAGGGGCCATGCTAATCTTCTCTGTATTGTTCCAATTTTAATGGATGTCCCGAAGGAGGAACAATAAAATTTCGGCAGCCTGGTTAGAGCACCGGTTGAAAATGTGCATTAGGGTATGAGGTTGTGGGTTCAAAACTCCGCAGCCTTTCACATGGACATCGGCAGGGCATTAGAACGACGCACGGTTGGACACACCGCTCGACACACACCCCCTTGGGATGATGCAGATAAATTATTACACACACTACTTGCGCACCACCCAAGGGGTAGTCCATGGTTGTTGTATGTGAGGACTGAGCGATGGTGGGTATCCCGTTGTTCTTGGTCTACGGGGTTGTCATGAGACTGCAGGAACCTTGCATAGTCCAGTTTTCTCGAGACCAGCAGAGTACAACTACAAACTATTTTACAATGTAGGTCAATAAGTTAGGTCACTTGCACGATTCATATAAGGTCCTGTGTTCGATATCAGAGTGTAACTTAGGGTTGGTCATCCTCTTAGTACGTGGTCAAAAAATTGAGGCTGGCATAATAGGTCCTTAGTACGAGATGTTGAGAATGTAAGGAGATACTGCACTTTACCGTAAGACTGGAATGGGCTCCGGGAACATACGAGGGAACGGAGGATTGTATGCTCTCAGATTACCATACAACACAGGGATAATAGATTATCCAGGGTCAATACATACAGTCCATGATTCACGATTGAGGGTGGGTTATCCTCGTAGTACGTACCTTAGAGTTGAGGCTGGCATAACAGTCCTTAGTACGGATGTTGGGGGTGTAAGGAGATACTGCACCTTACCGCGGGGTCGAAACGGGCTCTAGGGATATACGAGGGAACAGAGGATCCCCATCTCTCTACCATCAACACCATAGAACACTGTAGTAAAGACAACACAAGGATAAGAAACTCAGTCCATAACTCATGATCTAGGGTTAGCTATCCTCCTAGTACGTAGCATAGGGTTGAGGCTGGCATAGCAGTTCCTTAGTACGGGATGTCGGCGGTGTCATGGCCAGAACGGGCTCCAGAGACATACGAGGGAACGGAGGATACCCAACTCTCTATCATCACCACACAACTAAGCTAGATGGGAGTCACTGTGCACCCTCATGAAGATTTGTCGTAGCATGTTCATACCTAGCTCCCGAAGTCCCCATGCAAGCAAGCTTGCACGGCGTCTGCTTCATCCGGGCCTGACCAGGGGGTAGGAGTCTGAGCTCTGCTTAGCCCCGATACCTGCAACCGCTGTCTGGTCAAGTCACCCCGCCAAGATGGCAATGGGGGATGGCCCTGGGTGGTTAACACTAGGGTAGGAAAGAGGGGTTGTGGGTGCAGCAGGGCAAAAAGATGAGAGGAAGGGTGGGTGGGGTCTTCAGAGTGGTTCATCTGGACAACTGAGTGGCCCAGTACTATGGGTGAATGCCATACGTCTACGTCGTCTAGTATCCCACCTCTACAACAACCTGGGCTTTTAGGGAAAATAATAATAATAATTCAGCAGCCCACTATATGGAGTACTGTGTACCGCGCAGGGCGCGGGAGCGCAGCCAATCAGGAGCGAGGAGCAGGATAGGCGAGGTGACACTTCCTCACTCCTCCAGCCTCCATCACCATCGATCGACCGCCGTGGACTCTGGGCCTCGCCACACCACTATCCAAATATGAAAAAAAGACAAAAAATGTGGCGGGTGCATCTGGCCCATGTTCTAGCTGGAAGTTCATTCCCATTTGGCAAATTTCGAGAATCGTGAGGTGATGCCCTGAACCTTACCTTTGGGGCTCGCTGCACTACTCAGCACATGCACTATGGCGGTGTATACTTCCATGTTATAGCGGGAAGATTCATTCATTCACATTTTGCACAGTCGGTGAGTGGTGGAGCAAGACCGTTTGGGCGTCCCTTCCATCACTCATTAGACTGCGCTTGCCCCAAAACAACCACCCCCAAAAAACCGCCCACTTAAAAACGAAGGCTGAAACGAAAAAAAAGAAATGTCGACCCCCAAAAAGGAAAGGCCGGGCGACGCCTGCCACGGCCAAACCACGACCTATGCAACCTGCCATTGGTTGCCCGCGCTCCAACCTCTGAGCCGACCGTTTCAGCTACCGGTCTCTGCCCTGCCCCCGACTGTGCACCTTGTCTACGGCCCATAAACCCCGTTAGGACTCGTCGACATTTCCACAAAGGACGCCCCGCTACACATCAAAGTGCAATGGGGGTTAGGACTCGTCGAGATGTCCACAAAGGACGCCCCGCTACACATCAAAGTGCAACGGGGTAGCGGCCCGAAACTACCGTTTTCATCCAAAAATAAAGCTCAGGCGTTGCATATGAATATAACACCCGGCACACACCGCAATTCTTGCACACTTCGCTCCAATTAGCACGTGACCCCAGTGGTACCCAGCCCGCTCACACGCACGGGTGCCCCATTGTTACCTTGCCCGCGGGTTTGTAGTACCTAGATCCGTCTACTGACCCGACTGGGCGGGGGCCTACCCCCATCCAGAAAATAGCGTTTCCACCCTCTAAGCCCTTTGCAGCTGGGTCTCTGCGCTCGCGCTTGTCTACGCTTGGCCTGCTCCATCTATTGGTGGGGAGCGACACCTGCTGGAAACCGTAGAGTGTCTGGGGCTATTGGGCTATGGTCATGGAGCTGCTTATTCCCTTGGGGCTGCACTTATTACCCTTCGCTGTTCTCAAGGTTTTGTTCTGGTTTCGAGTGTACTTGGCTCCTTGCCATCCGATCTGGACATCTCACGGCCCTAATGTGACCACGTTGGAAAATACACGAAACATAAACTAAACCCCCGCTGCGCTTCTACGGTTTGCGTGGTATGTCAATCATTGGAATCGTGGAATCGGATTCGATGTGCTGCCCAATATTCGCAAATCTGTATGAGCGCCAAGGCGTCAGTTCGTGGGCACTTCTGGAGGAGTTTTGGCGTTGTCCCAGTGGTAGCACCCGAACCGCCTTGGAGTCGTCCAGCCCTACCGGTAGTACCATCATCTACGTTTCCGGCCCGGCGGAGGTGTGATTTGAAGGCCTACCGGTAGTAGCACCATCCATTCCGGGAGCTACCGGTAGGTCCCACTTGCAAGATTTAAGAGATACTGACCGTAGATAGGAAAGATCAACGGCCGAAATCTCCTAATTTCCGCAAGTGGGACCTTGCCCCGGGGGATGTTGGCCGTTCCATCGGAGGGTCATTGTCGTGACGCCCATCCCCCGCCCCTGCCGCCGTGCCTGCACCCCAGCCTGCGCACTACCGGTAGGCGCTTCCAGAGGACTCGTCCGTCATTTCAGTCAGTGGATCTCCTCCCGCCATAGCCACGGCACGCTACCGGAAGTGCTATCTTTCACATTCTCAAACTGTGGTTGTATAGCGTTCATTCACATCATTTCGTTCCCCTACGACCTTTCATCTTATCATCTTTCCTTCGAGAAGAGTCACGAACATGCCGGCAGAGGTCCGTGTGCCAGCGAATGACGAAGATGTGGAGGTGGAGGATGAAGATTTCGACGACCCCGATGATGAGGGCTGGGTCGAGGAGGAACGGTTTCAGATGCCCGAGGGCATGGATGATGTCATGCTTGCTGCGGAAGAAGGAGATGCAGAAGCTCTTCGACAAGCTCTAAGTAGGTTCCTCTCTCTCTCTCTCTCTCTCTCTCTCTCTCTCTCTCTCTCTCTCTCTCTCTCTCTCTCTCTGTCTCTCTCTGTCTCTGTCTCTGTCTGTCTCTGTCTCTCTCTCTCTCTCTCTCTCTCTCTCTCTCTCTCTCTCTCTCTCTCTCTCTCTCTCTCTCTCTCTCTCTCTCTCTCCCTGTGTCTGTGTGTGTATCCAGTTCTTCCAGGTTCGACTTCTCTTCTTCGTCCATTCGAAAGAACTACGAACTCCGTGTTCGATTTCCGACTTGATTGACACGATCTTTGCCTCGGCGCATCATTTCCTTCGGTTCGATTTTTCCACTTTCCGTCATCCATATCCTGGTACTGGTTTCACCTCCTCGATGAGGGCACTCCAAAAAACGCCGAAAAGAGGGAGTGATTTTCTGTAGCTTGCTACACTCGTGCGCAGATCGCTTCGTCTTCCTGTTATTTATCGCCGTTGGTCTGCTATCGCCGTGTTTCCTTAATTTTTTTCTTGTTTCTCGGAAAGGGGGGTAGCCTAGGAGGATCTTAGTCTCGAGCAGGATTCGAACTCTTGATCTGCTTGTCAACGGTTATACATGTGTACCGTTCTGCCATTATACTTTCAAATCTTCGTGGAATCTTCGTGATCGGTGGTTTAGATCATGCTTTATTCGCTCGTCTTCTCTCTCGTTTCCATTGATTCTTATTCTTATTCTTATTCTTATTCTTATTCTTATTTTTCCCCCAAAGACAAATGGCGACGGCCTTGACATATACTGTATCATCATTGTCATAGGAATGACCGGCCCTCTTACCTTTTTCGGCCTTTTGTCTAAGATCAAGCGTAGTATCTGTGCAAATCAGTTTAATACGTATCTGAGCCGAGGTCCACGCGGTCATTGAAAACGAGAAAAGGGAGAATTGATCGCCCCCAGGTAATTCCGCCGCGTTCGTCTATTCCACAGGGGATTGCCTGGGTCTATGGGTCAGATCCCACTACCCTGGATTATTCATTTTTGACCCTCGATTACGAAGATCAACGGTCAGAAATGAACAATAGGGGCTAGTGGGATCTGGCCCTATGTGTCTTCCAGCAGGATTCCAACTCTGGTCTGTTCACCAATATTTAGAGTGTGTCAGTGTACAATTCAGCCGTATGGGGTTTGGGTGAAAATCTCTTTGCACTGGTAATTAATCAGTTATCGGGATCGCGCTGCGTTCTATCTCGTCGGAATGCCCCCATAGTGCTTGCCCCTGTCCCTTTTTTCTATGACCACCTTTATTTAGTCGGTCGATAGTTCAGTGTGTGTTTTCGCAAGCCTGCGGTGGGCGCGTGGATTTCCGCCCTAACAAGCTTCTGCAGGCACCGGCGCCTTCGACTGCGGTTTTCATCCTTACTTGTCTACTTTCCCGATCCTAGCCCAGTACTCCCCTGGAGAATGCCAGGGCAGGGGTATGCACGCTGCTCTTTTTTTTTTTTTTCCTATGCGTTCTGTTCGGGGTTATAGGGTGGCTTCTTAATATGCTCGTATTGTGCTGCTTGCTCTTTTCTGCGGCCGCCCTCAGCAAATAATGGCCGTTGTATGGGGGCGAACTGCCCCCGTCAAAGATACAAGAAGCCGTTTTGCTGCATGGTGGTCACTTAAGGGAGGTCTCGAGTTTTTTTTTTTTTTTTTTTTTTTTTTTTTTGGACCATTTCACGATTTATGCCTGTCATCCATGCGCAGTGGCCATGCTCACAATCGCAAGTCGAGGCGCGCCGCAGCCCTGTCGCAGTCAGGCGGTAGGTACTATGCGGGCTGAGCATTATTATAATGCAGCCTCGGTGGCACTACACGGGTCGTGTCATAGCACGTGGGGTAATCGGGGAGCACCATGTGGGATGTGGTGTGGGGCAGGGGTCATACAGTATGGGGCTCGCTGCACTACTCTTGACATGCACAAAAGACAAAAATCATGGCGGTGTATCTTTCCATATTCTAGCGGAAGATTCACTCTCGTTTTGCACATTTCAAGAGTAGTGCAGCGACGCCCTATGTGTTGGATGAGCACAGGACTGGAACACACAATTCATGGCTCTGCAGGCTAACGCCTAACCATAAGGGTCAGTGGGCTGGGGTGAAAGTGAAGCCCCAATAGCAGTACTTCACCCCTCCCCAACACGAAGATCCCGCGACACGGTGTACCCGACCCTCTCATGCACTTGGTGGTACTATGTGGCCCAGGTTATTAGTATGTGGTGATACTACGTATGTGGTCGGCTCTACGCGGGGCGGGCCATAGCATCTGGACTGGATGGCACTGCGCGGGCCATAGCATCTAGCGTGGATGGCGCTGCGCGGGCTGGCAGAATGGTATGGTAACATCGATAGCACATACCGAATCTTTGGGCATCGCCACACCACTCTTGAGATGTGCAAAATGAGAATGAACTTCCGCTAGAACATGGCCAGATGCACCCGCCAAATTTTTGTCTTTTTCACATTTCGAAAGTGGTGTGGCGAATACCTTTCTCGGCCTTTTGGCTAAGATCAAGTGTAGTATCTGTTCTGATCAGTTTAATATCTGATCCGTGGTCCATCGTGGTGCATCTTTTCATTTTCTAGCGGAAGATTCATTGTCATTTTGCACATTTGGAGAGTAGTAGTGAAGCGAGGCCTAATTTTCAGCATGGCGCTTCGCGTCGATCCAGCCATCGATGTCTAAACAGTGTACCAGTTTGGCAGGAATAGGATGCACGTGGTCTGACCTATGTGCACGTATTCAGAAGGGTTATCAGATGGATGTGGCTTGGACTTGCCGCAGTGTTGACTGTGGTGGTTTGGTTCGATCCAGCGATGATCGTCTAAGCAGTGTACGGGCTTGCTGACATTCTGTAGAGGGGATGAATGATGATCTCCCAATGCTGTTTGAGTCCTTCACGTCACGTCGCCGTTCGCCTTCCATCCCCCTTCACCATATTGCGCTTCTTTCACGTCCTGCTCGTCGTTCTCCTCCTCATAATCTTCGTCCTTCTTCACGCTCATCCACTTCCTGCTTGCCCCTCCTCATCCTCTCCTTCCTCGTTTTCGCACTCGTGCTCTTCCCTGACCTCGTGTTTTCCTTGTCCTTGTCTTTCTTCCCTGACCTCTTCCCCTTGTCCTTGTCTTTCTCCTCATCTTTCCTGTCGTCCACATTTTCCCCTCTTCATCTTCCTCCTCGTCTGCGTTCCTCCGTCGGGAAAAAGAATTCGACAGACCTGGTGGTGGTCCCCCCCTTTTTGCTCGTCTTATCCCTCGTCACGGTCCTCCTCCTCCTCCTCCTCCTCCTCCTCCTCCTCCTCCTCCGTCGTCTTGCAAGACAGACATGGTCATTCTCCGCTTTGTGCTCGTCTTATCCCTCATCACGGTCCTCCTCCGTCTTGCATGTCATCATTCCCCTACTCGCCATCCTACCCCTCCTTCACGTCATCGTATGTGCTCGCCGTCTTTCGCCTTCGCCTTCTCCTCGTCCTTATCTTCTCCGTCCTCCCCGTCGTGTTTCCTCTTTCCTCTTCGCCCATCTTCTTCACGTTTTGAGCACTTTGTTTTTAACACCTTTCGTCGCCACCGGGCCTTTTTTCTCATCATTCGATTCAGAAGGATTTAGAAGAACAAAAAAAAACCGCTACGATGATCTATTTCGCGGTAGCATCACAGAAGGAAAGTTCAAGTAGGAGTTCAAATCACACAGTTATGACGGCCAGCAGTGGCTCTGTAGTAGTTAAACACTTCAGGCACGCGTACACTGACATACATTGGAGACTGTGTCCACCCCTCTCCCGCTCTCTGTTTTCCGTTGAGGGAGTTGCGCCACTGTCTTCGTCTCGATGCGTGTTGCGCCAGGGGTCTGGCAGGAGGAAGACAACGACACGACGGACACATGACATCGCCTCTCTCTCTCTCTCTCTCCCTCTCTCTCACAAAACAGCAATTCGACTGTGCACCGCGCTGGCATGCAAACAACACAGCACACCCGACCGAAATGCCGCTCGGATGAAAGCGAAGACGTCCTGTCGCATCTACTGGCAAGATCCCGCTGGGCAAAGAGGATTGGAATAAGTGGGTGAATCTGGACGTGTTCCAGGCAGACATGCAGAAGAGCAGATCAGTCACAATTTTTCTGCACATCTCCTCGAATATGTCCAGATTCACACGATTATTCCAATCCTCTTTGCCAGTGGGATCTGGCCCTACTTTGCGTGAGCCAAAATTCGAAACTGCTGAGGTCCTAATTTGGGCGCCAGAAAGGGCCTCGCTGCACTACTCTAGACTCTCGAAATATTTCGAGAGTTCGGCTGGCATTGTCAGAGAGGCGAGACTCTCGAAATAGCCGCCTTCGCTGCACTTACTCTATAAACTGTCACACTAGATGAACTCTCCAAACCCTGCGCCTCGTCCGGGACAAAGTCTGACCGCCGGGACAGGAGGTCCACTCTCGAAAAACGAGCCCGTCGGCGGGCAACTCCCGAGGACACTTGTGAATTCCTGTTTTGCAGGCAGGCTACTCTCGACGAGAGTGGTGATATAGAGTGCCCTGCCCGCTGACAGCTCTCGATGGGGTTTCGAGAGTTTTCCGATCGAGAGCAAGTGCAGCAACGTCCCACTCTAAAAAATTCGAGAGTCTAGAGTAGTGCAGCGAGGCCCAAAGTTTGGACCTCTGCAGTTTCGATCTTTCAAGTTGGGAAAACAAAAGGTTGAAACTGCTGAGGTCCCAACTTGCACGAGGTTCCAACTTTTTTGGCACGCAAGTTGGGACCTCAGCAGTTTCGAACTTTGGCTCACGCAATGTCGGGCCAGATCCCACTGGCAAAGAGGATTGGAATAAGCGTGTGAATCTGGACATGTTCGTGGAGATGTGCAGAAAAATTGTGACTGATCTGCCCTGTTGCATGTCTGTCTTGCGCGCCAGAAACGAAAACAAAAGGGCCGACGCTCCAAAAGATTCGAAACCCGCAACGACCACGCGGCGACCCACAGAATTCGAGACC